ATCTATATACCTAATAAATAAGTAACTTTGGGACACGTGTACTTAATTAATTAATTAATAATAATGTGAATTTAATTAATTGATATAATTATTAAAAGAATATTAATACCTTATTAAATAATAATAGCATAAAGTTAATTAACTTATATCACACACATCTATAATACTAATAAATAAGTAACTTTGGGGACACGTGTCACGTTCTTGTGCGACGGTTGTTGATTTTTCCCGCCTAAAACACAATTTTCACCTACGGCCCCCAGACTTACAACATAACTCTAGAAAAATTCACGTCTGAATTTAACTCTGGAGTGGTCATCAAAACCGGGTTTAAAATTTCAAATTCGCATTTTTGAAGCATTTTTCACAAAGCAATATCACCCGGGAAATTTTTTTTGGAAGAACATGTACTCTTAGTACTTAATTAATTAATAATAAATGTGAATTTAATTAATTTATATAGGTATTAAAAGAATATTAATTTTAGAAGAACATGTACTGGACCCCAGCCAGGGGCTCTGCCCCTTGGACCCCGCCAGGGGTTGCCGCCCCTTGGACCCCGCCTCCCGGGGGCGCTGCCCTCGGACCCCTTCTGTTAAGGGCTTCGTCCCTAAATCAAAATAAACTCAAACAAGTGTGCACTCCGCACCTGCCTTACCTATTCAATATTTATCATGATTACTTTGGTCAACAATTTAATCCCATTACACTTAAATGATATTAGTCATACAAATCATCAACATGAAGTTATCAGATATTGGTTATTTCTCAGACTTACAACATAACTCTGAATTGTTCTGTTCCAAACTTAGTTATGTAGTTTATTCCCAGACTTAGAATACAAATCTAAACTCCTCTTCAGAGTTACGTTTCCGAGACATAAGAAATCAAAATTATTGTGACTCAGAGTTATGCTCGTAGATACTTTGTAGACTTAGAAGACAACTCTAAGTTCCTTTTATTCAGAGTTAACTCCAGAGTTATTTTCCAGTCTAACAATAGAATTCTGAATTCTTGTGTTTCAGAGTTAATGTTCAGAGTTAATGTCCAAAGTTTTTCTCATTTAATAAGAGCCAAGGACAATCATTATCAAAAGTTGGTTTATTTTTAAGATAACGGAAAATTTATACAAACTTGTAGCATTGGCTAATTTTAGCAATTAACTCTTGAAAAGAACTTCACACTTGTAGCCAGATTGGTCGTCTTGATTTAGAAGTCTTGCAACGCTAGATATTGTCCGTCGTGAACTCTGGAGGATTTCTTAGCCCTTGTGTTTGTCAAGCCTGATTCCGTCCTTCATACAGAGCTTAACAGAGGTTCTGCACGTGCTATGCGATCAATCTGAACCAGACTCCATGTTTCATGCAGAGCTGCACAGAGGTTCTGCATTTAAGTCTTGAGAAAGAGCTTTGTCTCTTCACGTAATGCGTCGAGGCTCTGTCTCTTACTCCGAAGATGGCCTTCAGACTTGTAACTCTGAATAGTTTCCGTCTTAATCTCTGGAAACTTTCTTTATGCTTGTGTCCTTGAAGCTTGATTTCGTTCTTCATACAGAGCTTAACAGAGGTTCTACAGGTGCTACGGGGTCATTCTGACCCTGCCTCCGTCCTTCATACAAAGCTTCATAAAGGCTCTGTACTTGTCTTGAGTAAGAGTTCTATCTCTGCATGTACTACCCAGAGCCTCTGATTCCCTTTGCTTGTCTCATACAAAGGTATACAAAGGCTCTGCATGTACTACGCAGCGCTGCATATTGGATCTACATTGTTCGTCTTCATTTAGAAGTTTTTCTGATCATCGAAGCACATGCCGTCCTTTGTATATGTAATATTTAATTCTTGAGTAAGAGCATCTTTATATCAAAAATTTAATCGGACTTGTACTTTTGTCTAAGTTTATAAATTACTTCCGATTATTAATTTTTGTCATTAACCCGTGTAATACACGAGTCCAAACCTAATATATATATATATATATATATATATATATATATATATATATAGAGAGAGAGAGAGAGAGAGAGAGAGCGAGCGAGCCACGGTGGAGAGTGAGAGATATTTCAAACTATATTTTAAAAAGCACCCCTAAACTTTCACACCTTAACAAAATTACACTTAAACTTCCAAACCAATTTTAATAACAATTTCAAACTTATCAAACCAATAACCCAGTTATAACATTAACCATCATTGCGTTCGGCACTTTAAGTAGAAGAAGATATTGATGTACCTTTATAAAACAATGTTTTACATTTTAGTTACGTTGCTATACCTATCCTTATAAATATCAATTAAAGATTTAAAAATATGATATAACTTTTGTCGTTTGTTGGTTAGTATATTTCTTTATTGACGTTTGTCAAACATAGATTTCTAATAATTCAACAATTTCACTCGCATGTGTAAAGGCCAAAGGCATTTTATTCGAAATAATTCATCAAAGAAACCAAATGGCACTAATCATCACACTCCTTCTACCGTTCTATCTTACACGCCATTTTGATTTATAATTACATAAATAAATATCAGATAAAATTATTATTGTATTTTCTGAAAACATCTAAAAGACGATACAATCGTTTAATAGTAGTCCAATTCCTTTCTCAACGTGATTACGAGGATAAATTTTATTTTTGCTTTTCGTTCATATATAAGTCTAATTCCAACTTGTAAGAATATCAAAGTTTCTTTATGAAGCAATATGACTGAATTTCAACACACTATTTTTCTGTACTTAGGGGGATGTTTGAGATTGCTTATTTGAACAACTTATTCTTTTCTATAAAAGCACTTATCAATTTATTATAAGATAAAAGGGTTTAACTTCTTTAAAAACTTCTTATTACCGGTTTGACACTGGTATACGTTGTTTATCCAAACACTCAAAAGTGTTTATTACCGGTGTTACACCGAAATAAGTCAATAAATTGTTTTTATAAGCAATCTCAAACACCCCCTAATGTGAATTCCTTTACCTTTTCAGAAAAATTCATTTTATCTAAACCTAAAAGAAGATTCATAATCAATGTTAATTTTATTATACATGCACTACTATTACAAACATTATCAAATTAAATATTGATTACTTAAAAGTGCATAAAATAATGTAATTTGTGATATTTTCTTACTTTTTTCTTAAATTATAAATATATTATATAATAATAATATCTGTTGACGATCATAGCGTTTATGACGATGGTGATGGTGATGGTGGTCATGGCTGGTAGATGGCTACATCGGTGGTGGCACTGGGGTTGTGGTCATTGTATAGTAGGCTGGGGGTTTTTTGTGGTACTTTTGTTCTTTCTGAAAAAACGGGTAGGAAGGAAATTTTAATTCCATCACACATATGACGGAACAATGAAATCCATAAATGGTAGAATTTATGGAATTCAATTTCATTTCATATATAAACATAAAAGCTAAACAATATTTGATAAATGAAATTGATCATTCCAATTTCTATATGCTATGGAATTTCTTTATGTTCTTCCGGCGAACCAAACGAGGGCCCTCTAAGGCTCATTTGGTTGTTAACAAATCAAACCAAGACATATCAGTTGTTGAATGAATTTGTGCGAGAAAATCTGGTAATAATAACAAATCGAAACAAGAAAAAGATTTTGGAGGAAGTGTGGCACTTATATCCTTCCCGCTTTTCTTGACTGAGGTTTGAACCGGTGAAACCTGCATGAAAATGGCTTAATATGTTACAAATCTACAAGCCAAAGTATCTGAACCATAACATACGATTGAGAAATCAAGTCAAATGGTTTTCAAGGCTCCAAAACCAATTCGTGCAACTTTTATGTTACAACACAATCTTTTTCAAGGCTCATTTGGTTTGCCAGGTACGGAATTCCTGTGATGCGTTTGGTTTAAAAGAAAGTCTGGAATTAAAATCGCACAAACGTTGGATTTAGAATTTTCATGGGGTAGATGATATTTTAAGAAATTTCATATGATTTGTTACTAATAATATTAAAATATATTATAAACATTTATTTTGTAATAATAATTAATCAATTAATAAAATATAATTCAATTATTTTTATAACTATTTATAATTTGTTTGTAGAGTAAACTACAAATTTTAAATAACATTTTTATCCCTACTGTTTTGAAATTACAAGTTGACCATTATGGTTTGTGAAAATGTTTTGATTTGGTTCCTCCCTCTAACGGTCGTTAAAATTTTATGTTTAAATGAGGGGGATTTTCGTTCTTTAATCAAATTTTTTGTCTTTTAAGCAAACAAAAACCACACCGACCACAATCATTTTGATTAGATAAAAGACAAAAAATTGATAAAAGAACAAAATTTTAATGGTCCACTACTGGGAGCAAGAATTTCCAGGAACATTTGGAATCTCTCATTTACGGAAACTTTTAACGGTTGTTAGAGGGAGGGAGCAAATTCGAACTTCTTTGCAAACCAGGATGGTCGTCTTGTAATTTCAAAATATAGGGACGGAAAGTGTTATATTCGACAAACTACAAGGACTAAATTTGTAGTTTAGTTTAGTTTTTATAAATTATCTATAAAGAATGGAATTCAATTACATCCCAAATCCTACAAATCAAACACAAGAATCCAAATTAATCCACGAAATTCAAATCCCATAAATAACCATTCCGTCAAATCAAACGCCCCTTAAATCTTTCTAGTATTGTGATTTAAGCATATTAGAGAGGGAGAATTTCAAATTTTAGTTCAATAAGCTATTGTAAATCGCAATCAACAAACTGAAAAATCTATTTGCTATTTATGCGCTGCTATTTTATGTAGAGTACTAGATCGCGGTACAATAAGTCGTAAACTATCGTAGAGTACTAAATGGATCCAAAAATCAGGGTCCTATCTAAAAGTATTACAATAAGTAGTTCAGATCAAGTTAGATAAACTAACAAGACCAATCTACAAAGTTGGGCAACCTAATAGCACACAAATTAAGTCGTGCTATTCGCCTTTTTATATGATACTTTTGAAACGTTCATGGACGTTTTTCAAATGTGATCTATATAAAAAAGCTAATAGGATGAGTTACATTTTGTGTGCTATTAGGTTGTCCAACTTTGTCAATAGTACTTGTTAGTTTGCCTGATTTTTATCCTAAAAACTTATCTTAACCTCTTAAACAGGACGCCGCTTTTGGTCCTATAAACTTGAAGTCACATTAAATAAATTTTTACGACACCTAAGGACCACAACTGGGTGTTCTAAAAGACCAATCTTATCGTAGTAACGATAATCTCACACGAGCAACCCAAATGATCCTCAATATGAGTTATATATCTACATTAATGATCAACTCACTAGACACTTGATGAAGTAAATTGTGAATGCTTTAGGTGATGAAGCACACAAAAAACAACCAGGTAAGCGTTTAATGGGTAAGAGTTACCACCCTCACTGACCATACCCGCGTATATTTTTTGGTCATCAGAATAACATAGTATAAGCGTCTCTTACCCGAGTAAGAGATACAGACACTGCCCTCACTTACCAGGTAAGATTCTTAGTCAGCAAAATGCCATAGTAAAATTACTGAAAAAATAGAGAGAGATGAGTATGAATACCTTGGTTGGATTTTGGAAGGAATTCTCATCCATTACATTAGTAGAGGAGAGCAGAGTCTGTGATGACTCTGAATAGTCTATCAAGTCAGGATCCAACCCTTCAATAGCTATCTCTACATTCACTTTGTTACTCCCATAGTTTACAACCTGAAATATAAAACCAAATAATTGTGCGTCCTATAAGTTTATATGACGCTTTTGAGACACTAAACAAGTTTTTTAGAACACTTTTGAAATAAAGTGTCATATTAGTTTTTTTTATAAAACACTAGTTCACTACTGAGACGTGTCATGTGAACACACATTTTTATAAAACACTTTTTCAAATAATGTCATATAAAAAAACTAATAGGCTATGTTATTTCAAAACTGTCCTAAAAAACTTGTTAAGATGTCCATAAACATTTATAAACTTATTATAACACTTTAACATAGGAGATGCAGCTATCACAGAGATTGGTATATAGGCACATATAACAGTTGATTAGTTTATGTCATTGATTTTCACAGCATTATTTAGGGGTCATTTACCAAACACTTACTTGGTAAGTGGATAAATTTCCTCATCGGATGAACATGAGAAGGGCCAAGAATTTTACCAGGTAAAAACGATGAGAAAGATGGAGAGTTTTACCCAGTAAGTGAGGATGACGACTCTTACCCAGGTAACCGCTTACCCAGTAAATTGTTGCATTCGATATGTTTTGATATACTAAAATTTTACGCATCAAAATAAATCATAGTGTTGACTCTTATCGGTAAGAGGGTTTATTTTACCTTTACTCTCAAATAATTGTTGTTATCCAATGGGTTCTGGAACCGAATAGCCGATGCCATAAGTGAATTAGATGAATTGGATTGTAGTGTTGAAACAAGAAGAGTTGCACCATTTGACACGGAGAAAAAGCGTTGCATCCAATAACTTGGTGTTCCATAACTCCGATACGAATCAAACACTATTGCGTCGGGCATCCACCTTAAACACAACAAAAAAATTCTATCACCCAAAGTTCTAAAGACAGAAATAAGTCGAGAATTACAACTCTTCGAGATAAAAGGTTTACCTCTTGTCGTTGGCATTCACAAACAAAGGAGCATTGCTAGCCATATCCACAACATCGCTGCAACGAAAACCATATCAAGATTCTAGAAAAAATAGGATTAAAATCGTTGACGTAACAAGATTGAATAAGCAAAACATCCGTTGTATAAAAATGTACGTGCATTCTCAAACACATCACACGCGTGATGGGTATGTCAAATAAAACCTGTCAGAATGTCATTTAAACCGGAGGACCCGAGAGAGAGAGAGAGAGAGAGAGAGAGAGAGAGAGAGAGAGAGAGAGAGAGACCTATTCTTCTCTATGCCAATCAGAAATCCAGCTTCGGCTAGTGCTGCTAAAAGACTTCCCGAACCTGCATCTTTTCCGGTCACAGCATACTCACTTACAAAAGCCTGAAATCATTCAGTGTTACAACTTTTCACATCAGAAGTTTTCTAATGATTCGGAACACAAATTTACCAACCTTGGGACCAATACGTGATGTATGATCGAATTTATGAGCCATAGAAAACATAGTGTTGGCGTTTTCGTAAACCTACCAAGAAAACGAAACAGGTTCATCTCTTTGTGGAATTACGAAATTTCTAGCAAGTGACGAGTGATATCGAACAAATAATTTATCTCTTACGTGATAATCATACATCTCTGCCGGGTGGTCCAATTGTGTGTTTGATCCATCACAGTTAGAGATTAGTTTGATATCTGGATAAGCTTTTTTTATAGCAACATAGAACTTGAGGTAATTTGCTGGGCAAATTAAGTGCATATTTTAGATCACCTTCTCAAAAGTATGTACGATCAAAACAAAGAGATAAAAATATGCATACCGCGGTAATTACCCCTCCCGCAATCCTGGTTTCCGATAGCAATATGTTTCAAGTTAAATGGTTCTGCATGCCCCATATCAGCTCGAACAGACCCCCATGTCGAATTTGGATCACCTCTAGCAAACTCAATACCGTCAAGGGCGTCCTGATTTCAGAAAACATCAACATCTTATCGAAACTGAAAATATGGGACCGTGCTAAATGCTTGTATGAAATGATCAATAAGAATCCTTGACAGCAAGTTTATTATGTAAACATTACATACAGTTAGTTACAGGTACTGATGGTCAAACACTTTTCTCTTAAACTAGAGATGTAACCACTGTTCTTTTAAGATGTCGATGTTCCTTAGGAGAAAGCGCCTTGCCTTGATGTCGCCTTTGCCTATTCTACCGTTGCCTTGAGCCACTTGAGCTTAATAAGATGGGGTTCGGATGAAAACGGATCTCGCTAATCCAGTCTATTCTATTTTTCATTTTGAACCATAGAGCCTAGATACTTAACCATCATATCATTATGACATGAGTAACATCATCCTCGATCTCACTCCCACCCTCATCCTTGAAATCTTTGCAGTAATGTAAAACCTTACTGATACCACAGTAACATACTTCTATATGATAAACACATTAACAAAAACAAAAACCTAGAGGAGTAACTTTACTGGTTTCACCCATATGAATTGTAAGATGTTATATATGAATAATAAGTTAATAACGATAATCGACATAGTGCATGTGAAGACACCACAATACCTGCACAAAAGGTGTAATGTTGGAGGGATCGACCGCCTCTTCTTGGCTGAATCCTTTGGATTACAAAAAATGGGGATTTAGGAACCCTCAAAGTAGAATTATAAAGCAAAATACTTTCAACAGAAGAACATAGTACCACTGTTCAATACCCATATTGGTGATGCATCTAAGTCCTCTGCTAGCTGTAGAAAAATAAGCATTTCAAACGTAAAAACAAAAAGTAGGAGAAACTCGATTAACATGAAATAACAAACGTGCCTAATGATCATAAATGATGTCACCTGGAGCAGTTCAAAGTGCCCAAGTCCGTCATCGGTCCAGTAAGACCATACATCACCAAAATGTCCTGGTCTCTCCTCCCACGGTCCAACAGTATCCTTCCAACGATATGCATTTCTCAAAAAATTTCCAGTAACAAAACTACCACCTAATGTATATACCGACATTATATCATGAATGGTCATTATTAGAGTTTTTGACATATGAAAATTACGGGAACATGACAACATAAAAAGCACAAAATATAGATACAAGACCAACAATTGTATAGACCAATGAGAGACTTGTTGTGTTTCGGGGGTTATCTTAATAATTCCGAAAACCCGCTTTGAAAAAAATGGTATTTTTTCTGGAAAACCATGGTGGTGGTGGTGGTGGTGGTGGTGGTGGAAGATCCTAGATGACTTGAGAATTCATGAAAAATGTTGTGTGGAGATCTCGAGTTGTTGGTATAGTTTTGAAATGCATAGACGGGATCCGTAGTGAGGGCAGAATGATATCTGGATGGAAGCAACGATTAACGTGTGAGTAGCAGTCTTCGATGATGCAATGACCGAGGATGCTATAGCTAGCCATTACAGTTGGTAACAACGCCTGATGCATATCGACTCCTCCTTGCATTCATCAGTCCGAGATATCCTACACTTGCAATATTTAGCATATGCCCTATGCTTAATATATGCAGTGTTCTTGCTAGGATGCTTACACATGCTCCATAGACTATTTTCCGATCTAAAACCATTGTTTGATAACGATCTGATTGTTGATAATTCAGATGATGATGAGAGTGGCAAACTTGCTGCAAGCAGTTTGACTGTAGTGGCAGCTGGTTGGAGGCTGTTGTAACCGGGCAATAGTTTTTTCTATTTTTTCTACCCAACTAGCCTCAGCCGCTGAGTGAGCCAAAAAATGCCCCCTCACACACCGGTGTCTTTGGAGGCGGGTTCCATGTGGGGCCGGTTGGGGTTGTCGGTAATCAACTTTTTGCCCAAATATATGGTGAGAAAATACATAAGGAAAGTAAAACTACACTCACAAATCATCCTAATTTAAGATGGATTTCTAACAAGTCTGATGCTAAAGTAAAAGTGGCCCTAGTTGAACCATATGTACCTGGAAACCTGATATACCCTGGCTTCAAATCTGCAACCATCTTAAATAGATCATTTCTGTAACCATGCCCCTGGTCCAAAAGCATTTACACTTTAATTGATTTAGCCTGAACATGAACATAAATATACCCAACTAAAATCATTTCAGTGCCACATTAATCAAAACATATAAAAGTAGTATTTTGACCTTTCTTCTTATATACATTTTTTGTCTTACGTTTTTTAGATACAAAAACGTTGAAAGTCGAAAGAGTTTTGATCAAACAATTACGTATGATGTTGTGATTTTGTTCACTTGATGCTCCATAACAACAAATGTTAGAGAATATGTGAGATTTAAACATGGACCATTATTGATCAAAGGGTAGTGTTTAACACATTTGATTTAAAATATCTCATATTAACGACGGGGAAAATCCCCAATCTCCTATTGGGGACGAGGACAAGGATGTGATATTATTCCCCGTTGGGGGCAGTGGTGGGGGCGGGATTAGGGTCCCCGCCCCAGTTCCATGCCTATTGGTTCATGCATGATGTAGCGCTCTTGAAGTTATGTAGCTTTGTGAGAATATGTGAAACCCCATTATATTACCCTTCAAAAGAGCCATTAAGAAGAGCTCGGAGGTTCCAACATATAAGAATTGGTCTATGTCTAGCCAATTTGCGACTCTAGCACGCCCCTTCCAACAGAGGCTAGATGGGAATAAATTGTTCCAATGCTAAGAGGGGGCAAGACAATGACATGTTTCAGAGTTTCGAGTCCCTAGAGTGGTAGAACTCGGCTTTGTACTATGTTAAAACATATGGAACCGCATCTAGTTTACTCTCCAAAAGAGCCCTTTGAGGAGAATTGGTCCAAGTGTAGCCGATGTGGGACTCTAACATGGCTTAGTTTCCTTCCTTTGTGCATTTTTTCCTACACTTTAGAAAATTGTTCCGCCAATTGGGTGAGATAAATTTCTCCCTTACGTGCTCTTCTTCCCTTCTTCATGACATCTTCTGCTTCTACTCCTTAACGATGGTATAATCATCTCTTCCCTTCGACCTACAATCCATTCTCTCAAATACCCTTCTAAGCAACGAAAATTCTTGGTGCATACTGTAGGGGTGAGCATGGGTCATGTCGGATTGGATTGGATTGGATTGGATCAGAGCAAACAACACAAAACCCGATTGGGTTTCGCGGAAGACTTATGACTTCCGAATATCAAAAAGCAGGTGTGTAGGAGTTCGGGTTTGGGCTTTGTCGGGTTTCAGGCGTAGCCAGGTCGAGATCGGGTTGATGCAATATAATTTTGTTTTTCGTTTGTTCCCCAAGATCATTATAATTCTATAGCAAAAAATAAATTATTCGTACATGAAATATCTAACAAAACATTAACGAACATAAATAAACGAAGGTTCACGAACATAAATGAACGAACGAGACCTTTGTTCATGTTCGTTCGTTTAACTAAACGAACAAAAAAACTTGTTCATGTTATGTTAGTTCGTTTATTAAATAAATGAACTTCCCACCAAACGGTTCATGAACGATTCACTGAACGTTCGGTTCATTTACAAGCCTGCATAGAAAAACTCACCCTTTTGAGTGTTCCAACTAGTGAAAGGCATGTCGCAAAAGCATTGAATTAGACACAACCCTGGTGGCACTTTGAATCTTAGCTCATCCACTCTCCCATGGAGTCTAAAGTCCAACCAATTCACACTATCCTCATTTTGTGCATAATCATTGCTCAAGCATGGGTATTAATGAATAATTGTGATATGAACCATGGAAAATGGAGAAATATGAGCCAAGTGATTGGGGAAAACACACCTCATATGTATCCATAGGTACCAGAGACACTTGATCAAACCATATGACTCCTTTTCTGCTGCTTTTCAACTCCAGTCTTGAATTATGATCTGTTGCTTTTGCTTCCAATATGACCTCCATCTTCTTCCAGTTTGAAACATCAGTAGCTCTTGAAGAACCAATTACAAAATCTTTAATAACCCTTGTGCATCAAGGTTGCTGCTTTATAATTCAGTTAATACTCACATAATGTCTGTAGTAGCCAATGTTTGCATTCCAGTCAATGACACTGTCATATTTATTGAGCTTAATGAACGAATATACATAACCAGCTTGTAACTCTTCCCTCTTTCAATATTCTGCAGATAAAGAGAAAACAACTGTTACTTAAGATCCAATAAGCCCCCGACAACTAGCATCTGTTAAAGAAGCTGATGCTATTAAGATGGTCTGCATGAGTCATATTAGTAGTTATAATCCTTACCATTCCCCAGTATCCAGGATTATATACACCAACCCCTCCAACTGGACAAGCGTTAACCCCATCGCTGTCGCAAACCACCTCCATCCGAAGTGCAACAGGGTTTCTCTTGAAGCATGAAGAAAGGTCTGTTGAGACTCTTATCAACGAGTAATCCCCGATGATTGACCAAGGATCAATAATGGAAGGAGAATGTTGTCCACCAGATTCAAAACCTAGTTTCAAAAGTTCCATGATAAGGTGGTGGTTTAAAACAAACTGATGGCTACAAAGAAGGGACGTTCCAACATATACACTGATGTGGGACTCTAACACGCCCCCTCTAACAAAGGCTAGACAGGTACTTATTGTCCCACAGTGTCGAGAGGGGGCTAGATGGGTGAAGAAAGGTCAGGCGCTTGCCCCAGCGTGGTAGACCTCTTATACCATGTGAGAATATGTGAAACCTCGAATTAATCTCCAAAAGAGTTCTTGAGAAGAGAAAGGAGGTTCCAACATATATAAGAAGGAATTTATCAAAGTCTAGCCGATGTGGGACTCTAAGAACAAACAAAATTAAGTAGAAACATTAATGTTGTACTTGGTTGTTCACATGAATAGTGGCTACTTTACTGTCCCACATTATATCAGAGATTTTTGAAGTTACCTCTGTTGCTTACCAACTCACCCCACAATCCACCTGCACCAGCATGGTTGATCTCCTAAGAAATAGATAACTAATTATTCAAGAGTTTCAAAAATATACAAGCAAAGAATTATCAAAATGCCAATGTAAATGTGCTTTACATGTGATGGAAAACAACCCAGTTTTCAAAGACCATTTATTAGATATGGTTATTTATCACTTACTTCCCGGGGGTTTAAGATTTTAGTCCACCAAAACGACATCGTATGCGACAATTCACCCAGTAAGCACTAACCGTGGTAAGAGCAGTCGTCATCACTTACTCGGTAAGACTCTTGGTTCTTGCCTCACTCTTATGGGATAAGATTTTTGATTATTACCATATACATCCAGTAAAGTAATATAATTTGGTAAGTGCTTACCCGGGTAAGCCTTCGGTAAACGCCCCTTAGAGTTTGTAAGTGTAACTAACAAAACACAAACGTGTACCTCAAACGAAACACCAAATAGATTTTGTGGCATCTTCGTTGTGGCTCCTTGAGAAGCGTTTACAAGCAGCAATGCATTTATATCCCGCAAACTCGAACAACATTGAATGAAAGCAGAAAGTACAAGAAGAAGCCCGAGTATGAGAGCTTGAGCTGGATCACTGCTTGAAACCATTGCTTCTCTAATGGAAACTTGACAGTACAACAAAAGCACAATCAGACACAATTCATTGACAGTACGCCACCAATTTCAAAGGTCCTAATAGACTTAAGGACTCGATTTATAGGACTAGGGTCCTATCGAAAGACGTTGTAATAAGTTTATAGGAGGGTTTTGGGCATCTTAACAAGTGTTTTAAGACTTTTAATACAAAGTGTCTCATTAGCTATTTTAAGCTTGTTTTTATAAGACATTTTTTCAAATATATAGCTAATGCGACATTTATACTAAAAATGTCCTAAAAAACAGCGTCCTATGGACTTATTTAAAAATATAGCATCTTTAAAAAAAGATATATTTGGTGGCAAGAATCTTGAAGAGTTGCCATTTTTGTGTTCTTCCTGCTCTTAGTTTTTCAAGAAAGTAGAAGTTTAGGGGGGATGGAGAGAATGAATACTTGTAAATACATGCAAATAAGCAATTGAATTCAACATATTCAGACAAAATCAAACACATGAAAAGAAAAGAAACTTCATACTTGAATACGTGTAGTCGATGAAGAGGGAAAGAAAGAACTATAGAGATAATTGGTTTGAAGAAGATGACCTTTAT